ATAACTAATGGCTTATCTGATATATCATAATAATAGGTATTATTTAAGGATGGAGCAATAATTTAATCAAATTCACAGGACATTTCCATATCGAATTAATAGATTAAAGCAATAGTTTGAGAGGTATATCTGCTCTATCTTGCACTAACAAATAATCTTATAGGCGAAAGATTTGCATTTTCATCATTACTATTAAACACCCCAATCTAGCTGTTACTAGTGAATTTAAATATACTCTCTTCTAAAATTTGACCATTATTATCAGTTACATTAATTATGGAATAAATGAAATTACCACACTTTGCCATTGACATAGTTGAAATTAAATCATCAATTTCTAAATATTGGTTTCTTTAATTTATGTAATATTTTATTGGTTATTCCTTTTTCTAAACAACCTATGATAGTATAGCTTAACTGCAACGATCAATAAATTAGATATCAAAATTTGTTGTATTATATATGCCATTTATAAGAGATCCTTTTATAGTAATGGTAAGTTTCAATGTGCTGTAATTTGCTATTTAACTGTCGTTAGTTTATACTAAAAAGTTCTATACTTCCCAATAGTATAATTGTAAATAGGATAGTGTTGAATTAAATAGTTTAGTTATAGTGCCGTTAGGAAATTATACCTAAAATGAATATAATACAACACCACATTTTTTAGTTGCATCATACCATCTCTCAATGCTAAATTGCTTTTAGGGATCTCCAATGTAGTATACAATTGTTGGCTATTCTACAGCAAGGACACTAGTTGTATTGCAAGTTTCATTTGTTATAACAACTTAGAAAGTTCGAAATACGGAGACATAATAACTAACATTTGCCTACAGTTTTAAAGTGAAACTCTTCCAATATTAGTTGTTATTGCACAATACTCTCAATTGATTATCTTTGAAGTAAATGTATTATTGATCCTCAGGTTTTAGGGTTAAGTTAGTACCTGTTTCAAGGAGTTCATAAGTTATGTCTGGACATATGTTTTATTTGGTATGATTCCAGGTTAGATTAGCGATCACTATCTCTTTTGAATATTCATAGGCATCATACAAAACACTGTTAATGGCATTAGGAGAAATCATATCTAAGTAGCATTCATGCAAAACACTAATTAAATAACTTATGTTTGCTGAGGC